TATAAAACGGATACTGCTTGTTATAAATCGATTCGCATATTCTAAGGCTGATCTTCTTATTCTTTTATTAACGAATATGTCTACTCGCTTATTCCCCTCAATCCCTATATAGCCTGGTGACCATTTGATTTGAATTAGATGTGTTTGCATTAGTTTTTGGCATTTAAGGAAGGCTTATTGTAATGTGATAAAGGCTGTGTTTTTTATTCTTTATATTATCGATATACTATTGATGTATATACAGATTTCCATTTATTTTATGCTGATGATATTTCTGATCGCTGTTTGGAAACCTCGGTATACCCCAATCGCTTTTGCATCGAATATATAAGAGTTGTAATGCAATCCATTGTTTCCTTTATATATTACTGTTTGTTTTCTGTATACAACATATCCATATCCTACTCGCCTATCATTCTTATCAGTCTATTCCGATCCATCAGAGAATATAATGATCTGATCGTGTATGTGTTTGTTTCACTATTCTTGGAACTGCTTTACTACTACCTCTTTCGTAAAGTCTTTAATAAAATCCATTCGATATCCTGATGTGTAATAAGGTTTTACTAAAGTTATCTTTTTGATTTGAAAAAGATACTAATTGATTATCTAGATTTTTATTCTGGCTAATTATAATTAATCTTCCTTATTGTTAAAGGAATAAATAACTTTTATTCCTTAATAATAAAAAGAATATTTTGAATTAATAATTTGAACATAAAGAACTGCTCTCTATTTTATTTGTTCTAGTGCTACTTTTGCTAATAGAAGAGTGTTGTTCTTTATTATTACTATATTCGGAATCATTCACCAAACTAGAAGGACTTTTCTAATTGTTATTCATAGAATCTTATTAATAACTAGAATTGCTTCTTCTAATCGAACGCTCACTACTACTAGTATCCCATCTTGGTGCTATCCAGTGGTTTTTGTTTGTCCTATATATCATACCTCTGCCCTATAGAATAGAACTAGATATAAGCAAGTGATCACTACTTTCCATAGGGATATTACTAGGGGTCCGTTTGTGATCTGGGCTAGCCCTTGAATGTGGTGAGCCAATTTCCGGCCTTTGGCTGCTCGCGTTTCGATATGCTGTTTGAATATGAGCTTGCAATCAAACCACACGCCTAGCCATCGTAGAGCCGATCCTGGTGCGATTAAGCACAAATCATTCTAGCTATTCAAATTATTCAAAAAGACAAAAAATTAAGTATTCGAAAAGCTACTAAACTATATAATATCCTGTATATAACAATTCAGTACAGAATAAACAGTTTAACCCCTTATATAGAATATCAATATAAAACCTATAAGATTATAGAATTGAAAGAGAAAGTGATTATTTAATATATAATTGATATGGATGATAAAAGGATTTCTACCTAAACTCAAAAGTGTAAAAGATATAGCAAATCATATTCTTGAATCGAAAGATATAAAGTCTGTTGAAAAACTCTGGGTATATCGATTTATAAAATATTAAATCGAATTAAAGATATATTTTAAATTGTATTTATGACTTTTAAAAAGCTCTCTATAAAGATCCTAAGCTTATTAAGAAATGATTTCGATTAATTTCGAATATGTAAGCGAAATACAATATTCTCAATTGCGATTTCTATAATTCGATAAAACAGACTTTATAATGGGTATAATATATCCTGGAATAATAATAACTAATGCTGAACAAAAGGATAACGTGGTTTATTATCGGATCGCCAATATCACCGGGTTGCTACTTTTTTCATTATTCAACCACTTCAATTCCAATTCGCGATATCTCAATGAATTATTATGGAAATATAATCAAAAGAAGCCCGAATCATCTTAGCTATTAAAGCTATTCGAAAGTCTAAAATTTAACAATTACAAAAGCTGCGAAAGTCTATTCAATACCTCGATCTACACTACGCGATAGAATCAATGGTTGAAACAATCAAATGGAAACTCGAGCAAATGAGTATAAAATAATTGAATTAGAAGAGAAAGTACTTTTTCAGTATATAATTGATATGGATAATAAAGGGTTTGCACCTAAATTGAATGATATAAAAGATATAGCGAATTATATTCTTGAGTCACAAGGGGTAAAAAAGGTTGGAAAGCTTTGGGCTTATCGATTTGTAAAGTGTTATATGGAATTAAAGATGTGTTTTAATTATATTTATGATTTTCAAAAAGCTTTTTATAAAAATCCTAAGCTTATTGAAAGGTGGTTTTAAATGGTAGTGAATATATAAACGAAATATAATATTCAAGATTGTGATTTCTATAATTTCGATAAAACAGGCTTTATAATGGGGATTATAGTTGCCTATATAGTTGTAACTAATACTAAACGAAATAGCAAAAGCAAGGCAATACAGCTAGACAATCGAGAATAGGCTATAGCAATTATATATAATAATAGAGAGGGTAAAACTATATCTCCATTTCTGATAGTTCAAGAATAAGTCTACTTTTCGAATTGGTATACCGAAACCGATTTTTCTATAGATTGAGCTATTAAATCTATTTCCAATAAATGAACGAATAATAAGATAGGATTAGAATGGTTAAAGCATTTCAACAAATATACTATTCATCGAAGAAAGGGCAAATATTGAATGTTAGTGCTGGATGGATACGAAAATCATAAATCAATACCTTTTCAATCATATTATAAAGCAAATAATATAGTATATGTAAAGCTACCAGCATATTCTAGTTATTTAACTCAACCATTCGATATTGAATATTTTAATATCCTGAAACGCTTATATAGTAATCAAATTGATAGATTTATCAAAGCACATATCAACTATATCTCTAAGGTTGAATTCTTTATAGCTTTCAAAACTATATATCAATAATCAATTATATCTCAGAATATAAAAAACTAGATTTCGGGAAACTAGATTAATACTATTTAATCCTGAAGCTATACTCTCAAAGTTAGATATTCGAATTCATACACCTACTTCCCCTTCTTTCAATCTAGATCCTTGGATTTTTCAAACCTTTCACAATCTAATTGAAGCTTTTTTTCAATCAATTTTAGTAAAATTTCGAATAGATCAGTATCAATCAAACTCTCCTATATTTATATTCGAAACTATATTAGCTTTAACTAAAAATATAGAGAGATTAGTTTATGAGAATACATTTCTGAGTACAAAAAACCATATATTTTGAAAGGTAAATGAAGTATTAAGTAAATATTGATGTGCAAAAAAGATTCAATTATATTAAGGAGGAATATTTATTGGATAAGAGATTCTTGATATATTATTTCAACAAAAGATTGATATTCAGATTCAATATGACAAGTATGAAAGAAGGGGAATTCTAATGGGAAAGTATCTTCTAATTGATGTTGTAGTATATGTGAAAGAACTGGTTACAATTCAAGAATTTGTCAAAATAGTATAATAGACCCTAAATTATTAGATCCTTAATAGTTTCAATCAATTGATTAAGTAATTGTTGAATAATACGAAATTGAAATGATTGAATGGTGAAAAAAGTAGCGACCCGGTGATATTGGCGACCCGATGATAAACCACGTTAGAAGCAAGGTAATATAATTAGATAATAGAGAATGGGCTATAGCGATTATATATAGTAATAGGGAAGATGAGACTATACTTTTATTTTTAATAGTTTAGGGATAGGTTTATCTTTTCAATTAGTATACCGAAATTGGTTTTTTTATGGATTAAATTATTAAATCTATATTTAATGGATAAACAAATAATAAGATAGATTTAGAATAATTGAAATACTTTAATAAGTATATTAAGAATCAAAGAAAGAGCAAATATCGAATATTAATGCTAAATAGGTATAAAAGCCATAAATTAAATGGTTTTCAGGAATATTATAAAGAAAACAATATTATATACTTAGGTTTATTATTATATTCAAATTATTTAATTAATTACTTGATATAAATTGTTTTGATAATCTGAAACATTTATATAATAATCAAATTAATAGATTTATTAAGATATATATTAATTATATTTTAAAGATTAAATTCTTTATAGCTTTTAAAATTATATATAAAGAATTAATTACAATTCAGAATATAAAATCAGGATTTTAAAGAATAGATTTAATACCCTTTGATTCTAAAACTATACTTTCGAAACTAAATATTCAAATTCATATATCTACTCCCCCTGTTCTCTTTTTTCAATTAAATTAATAAATCTTTTAAACTCTTTATAATTCAATTAAAGCTTTTTTTTCAATCAATATTAATTAAATCTCAAATAACTTATTATCAATCAAGCTTTTCTATATCTATATTTAAAATTATTTAATTCTAGTTAAAAATATAAAGAGATTAGCTTATAAGAATATACTTTTGAATATAGAGATTTGTATATTTCGAAAAGCAAATAAGATATAAAGCAAATATTGATGTGCAAAAAAAAACCCAATTATATTAAGAAGGAGTATTTATTGAATAAAAGGCTTTTAATATATTATCTTAATAAAAGATTAATATTCAGATTTAATATAACGAGTATCAAAATAAGGAAAATCCTAATAAGGAAGTATTTTCTAATAGGTATTGTAGTAAGTATAGAAAACCAGATCATAAATTCAAGAACTTATTAAAACAATATAATAGATCCTAGATTATTAGATTCTTAATAGTTTCAATCAATTGATTTAATGGTTGTGAAATAATATGGATTTGAATACGATAATTGAGGTGAAAGTGGCCCACATGATGATAAACCACGTTATATATATTCTAAAATTTCTTTTTAGTTCAAACAAAAATCTATTTTCGGGGTTTATACTGAATGACCCAAATCGGCCTCGGTATCTCCGCCGTATTGAGTCTTGACCCTCTCACCTTGTAGCTCCATCGGTAGCTCCATGGCCCATTCTGGACCGTGCTGGAGCAATCATCAACATAACTACATCATTGCTCTCTCATCCCCCGTTGTCAACCTTCTTCATATTCTAAACAACAAATAAAACAATTAAAATCATTCTTCATGCCGAAAAAGAGGTTCACACCACAATATTCAAAACCTGCGAGTACAGTTCATCCATCACTCAATTCCAATGCTTCTGCATCGACATCGGCATCACAAAGTACGTCCCTTGGAAATAACTCCATGGTACCCCGCCACCCTTCAACCCATCATTTAACTAATGCGCGCATTGTGCAACAGACAACAATGTTTCGTCCGTAAATGATTTGATAAATTCCGCCCGGAGACTAAATATATCTCCTACTGAACACCTCCGCGCGGCCTCTTCTCTCAGTCCATCATCTCATACCCTTCCACCTCAAATTCGTCATCTCCTCTCCCAACCTGAAACCCCCTCTCCCCCTCCTCGCAGACCCCTACGCAGCCGACGCTTTGACGCCAATGGTCGTCGCATACCAGCTGGTCCTGCACCACCCATAAGTTGGCTAGAAGGAAGTGCACACGAATCTCCTGATGTGCGATGGCAATTCCGCTCGGGTGAAGAAGGAAGGTTATTTCCGAGAGGGGTGGGCTATTTTCCTGGCCTAGGCGATGATACAAATGGAAATGGGCCTAATGGAGGAAGGAGTTTGTTAGAAACCTGTTTGAAGAGATTGGCAAGTGATTGGCAGAATATGAGTGTTTACGAGTCGAACAATCTGGCATTGTTGCCGGTGTCCTTGAGGATGGGGCTTTTAAGCTATATTGCGATCTATGGGCCAGAAGAAGGGATTGGATTTCAAGCCTTGAAGAATATACTTCTATTGCCAATACAGGATAACAGTGTAGTAGAGGGACCGATCAAAGAAGAGGCAGAAGATTGGGAGGAAGAGGCTGATGAAAGGTCTACCGGGGGAAACAATGATTATTTCTTCCGACTTGACCTTGGTGGCTCAATAGGAAGATCAGTCAGCTTGAAGCAGCTCTCAACCCTTCTTACAAACAGTTTCGTGGTCAAAGAAGATACAATACCTCGATCGTTCCCCATAGCCCTTACACATCTCACCCATCTATCGCTCTCTCATCCTCCACCCTCGATCTCCTGGTCTCGTCTCCTAGCTCTCACGCCTCATCTCAAGACCATTACGCATTTATCCCTGGCTTACTGGCCCCCTCCTACGTTCACACCAAACTCGAGTACCAATCTTTGGGGATCACCAACCTCCCGAAAAAGTCAATTTCGATATGTCGCTAGTAGTTTGCATACCCAGACTATGGATGAAGAATTTTCAGAGTCGGCGTTGGTTTTGAAGAAATTAGCGAGTGGTGTCTATGGACTAGAATACCTGGATCTGGAAGGATGTATAGATTGGACCTTGGCGTTACAGGACTTATATGGTGTAGATTGGGGTCATCAGTGGAGAAGGCTAAAGACTTTAATTTTAAAGAGTGGAATGATGGGAGATGATCCGGACTCTGATGTGGCAGACTTTGAGGGGTTTTCCGAGGACGAAAAGAGTGCTATTGAAAAGGCTATTTTGGAGGGAATGCACACGCAAAATCACATACATAGGATAAGGAGAAGAAAAGCACTACCGTGGATGGATGTCATTGTTGATCGGAACCCTAATGGCATGAAACCGCGGGTTCCTAGAGAGTCTTCTGAAACAATCGTTGGAGGTGCCGGTGCTAGGATTTGGGATACCGAATTTGCAATGGCTATTGCGAACAGTACTTGGGATTCTTAGGAAACACTAGGCGTTTGGATGGCGTCTATATCATTGGCGTTGCATTTGCATGGACAGGATACATGGATATGTAGACTCTGGGACTCATAAGGGTGGATTTGTATACACATTTATATATGTATTTATAGTACGGCGAGTACATATACAAGCCAATGAAGATTATTCATCACGTATCTCTTCGTGCTCAAAACTAAGGTTTAGATAACACTGCCGAGTGCATCAATATGCTCATCTTGACTCACTGGGCGTAGTCAATTCGAGATGTCAGGAGGCAGAGACAAGATGATAACTAGTGGTATCACACAAACAGAGCTTACAACGGTTCAAATTACAGCCTGGGCATAAGAAACCATCAATTCTCTATCCCGGATTCATGGGTTGAGCAGGCCGAAACTATGTTTCACCTTGACATCGTTCGATATCTTCAACCTTGGTAACGCACTGGCTTCATCTAGTTTCTCTTGGTCTCTATAATCATCTACCTAGCTAATGTCATAACCCTATTCTCAGTGATTCATAATGTTTTGAAGCTCTTGGAATATATTAGTTCATCGAGTTTGACTACTAGTTGAGTTGAGTGTAGAGATTTTTCGTGTGATGGTGTTGGAGTTTGGCTTGTGAGATGAGGAATATGTTGGAAGGTGAAGGTAGTGGAAGAGGTGGAATATATTGGGAGAGGTGGAAGTAATGGAGGGAGGGAGGGAGGGAGTAGTGGAGGAAGAGAGGGGTTACTTGCAGTAATCAGAAATTCGGTTTGCCGGAAGGTTTCTGCTGTGCAGCTGTGTGGTTCTTTCTTTTGGGTGCTGGGGGTTATGATTTTTTGTGCTGTTTTATTTCATGTCTAGATCCTCGTTGCCCATACAAGTGATTTTAGATACGGGAAAGAGCGTTGAGTATGAAGGGGACGATTATGGGATTGCATGAGATGTGATGAGAGAGGAGAGAAGGGATATGGATATTTATGAAAGGAAATGAAATGAGATGAGATGATGAGATGGTGGGCAAGGGGTGGAGAAGATTAGAAATTGGCATTGATCAATGATGACAGACTGCGGTACATGAATATCCAACAGTCATTTCCCCTGAGGTGACTTGATCTCGTTAAGACACGCTGTGTTGATTTCAAGGATTGAAATTGGAAGGCGAGTCTTGATTAACATTTCAGAGCAGTAGATCAGAACGCTGGGGAGAGATAAACGTACGCATGAGCTTGGTTGTTACAACATTGGCTGATGAAGATGATGCTTCAAGAATGCCACATCTTGCTTGTTCAACAAGTAGAAGAATGAAGGAGTGATGATGTTCAAATTTGATATCAACACTGTTTGATATTGTAGATGCCTAATATACACAACTAAAGATCTATTCTATTAAGAATCCCCAAAACCCAACACGATGAAGAATTCTCCAACTTCCTCCCCGATCGACCAGATATTCGACATGATCCAACTTCTCATCAAGACCATCTCATTCCACCCCGATATCTTGATCTTGATCTTGATCTCGATCTCATTCCATCAAGCTCACGAGTCCTCATCGATCGATCTACTCTACCCAAATCACTACAGTTCCACAAACCCAAACCCATAACCTCTCATCTCCAACCCCTCACCGCCATCACAGCTAAGATTTTCATCTCCACACCTAAGAAACTCCCCAGAAGCCCCGCACCGCACCTAAACCTTAAAAAAGGCATTAAAAAATCCAATACAACACATACACTATTAATCAATCAACCAACTATCTAACACCAATCTCCATCCACAACTTTCCTTCCTCTACGATAGAGTAGAGTCAAAAAGCAAGAGACGATAAATTAAGCATCACTCACGCATTAAGCATCAAGCACCAAGCACCAAGCACCAAGCCAGGGGGGCGGGCTGTGCACAAGCGAATCGAACCATCCCACCTACAGCCCACAGCCCACAGCCCACGGTCCAGGAGCTAAATTTTGAGTTCACGCCTAGCTAGGTACTCGTGCGGCCAGAAAGTATGCAACTCCGGCGCTATGAAAACCAGGTTAGTCCTCTTGTAGTTTACCATCTTGTGGTATGTGCATCTAGCGTCGGAGTTGCATACTTTCTGGCAGCACGAGTACCTAGGTCACTAACTTCACTATACTCCGTATGTCTGTGTGAGTGGGGCTTCGAGATGAAATCAAGGGTAGATAGGTTATGACATGCTGCCTGGGAGGAAAAGGATATACCCTGTAAGCTTGAATGCACTATTGGAGTTTACCATGTTGGGATTTGATGATGGGGGTTTGGATTTGTGAGTGGGAGTGGGTGGAGATCTGAGTGAGTGAGTGAGTGAGTGGAGGGCTTGAATTATGGTATGGTATGGTATGGTATGGTAAGCCGGTAAGTTCACATACGCAAACGACAGATCTACGCGATCGCAGCTAAAAGCTTGCTTCTGCCTTTACATTAATTAACCCTCACTCTACGATACACTTTTCGAGAATACACCCGAGATTCACGGGCATAGTTGATGGTGATAGTGATTTACGGGCTGGCTAGCTGGCTGGATGGGTTATAGATATCAGAATCAGAATCAGATGGATAGAAAAGACCGCCCGTCCGCGCGCACAGGGAACCTGCCAGGATGGAAGGGAGGAAGCTAAGAATGGGGGATCTGCGCTAACCTATGGGATGGGTGGAGGTAGGGAGGGTAGTGCGAGAACCTTAATCCGACATACTTGTACACGACTGAGGGGTTGATTGAAGCCTGGAGGGACTTTGAGTTTGAGTTTGGGGGAGAGGTGTTACAGATTGCAGCACTTTTTTTTTTTTTTTAATTGTTTATTTTACTTCATGTTGGGTTGAGCAGAGCAAAAGGTTGAATTTGAATTTGAATCGCGGTGTCACTCGAGTTGTAACTTGATTATATCCGGCTTCCGAGAGGTGATGGTGGATGAACGAGGTGAGGGGTGGGTAGGTTAGCACCGCTTATCGACGGCAAGAGTATCATTCATGGAAGACTGCAGAACGGAACGAGTCGTGAACAGATCCAGGAAGTGAAGGAGAGAAGACGGTGAGTGAGGGTGTTGAAATTCCCTCTTGGTGCAACAGGAATCGATAAACCCCCACCAGTTCTTTGTCATTACTTTCTCTCATCTGTCCACCGCCATCTCATCTCCTTTTTTCCTCGTCTTGTCTTGTATAACATGCAATACGTTTTTGCCCCCAACTTTTATTTGCATAATCTCCCACGCTCGTAGTCAAATCTCTGACCTAATACCATCAGAACATCATTTTGCGCCCATCCACTTACAACAAACTAGTAAAAAACATCCATGAACATGTTCGCATCCCCATCCCCATCTCAATCCATCCAAACCAAACCGGAACTAAATCAGCCCTGTACAACCCCGGGATGGATTCTTAAAACACTCCACCCAGAAGCGATCCCTGAAAATCCCACTTCAGCAGTGAAGCAATGAGATGGGAAATTGCTCTGCTTCACTTGCTTACTGCTTACTTGAATATGGTTCTGACACGCACACGCGCACGTACATACATCTGCATTAGGGTAATTTCTTTTTCACAGTTGCCATACTCGGGCCAAATGCAGGAGATAGATGCAAGCATGTTTGTCTTTGTCTTGTCTTGTCTTGTCTTGTCTTTTCTTGTCTTGCCTTGTCTTGTCTTGTCTTGTCTTATCTTGTCTTGCCTTGCCTTGCCTGTCTCGTTTGTCTGTTTTGCCACGGTGATGCTATGGTTATGCCGACAAAGGCTATAGGCTCAGTGCAGTATTGACGAGGGAATAGATCCGAGATGTTGGACTCGGCTTCGCGCATAAAGCAAACATGTAGAAACGTTGTGGGTTTCCCTACCTGTTATTGGGGAATGGGTCTTGGGTATGCCATGCAATGGATGTCAAGGTATGGGAAAGGAAGCATAGGGAAGTGGCATGTGATTATTTACCTTTTATGTGCTGTAGGGAATAGGCTGTAGTATGAATGCTCATCCAGCGACTTAGACCTTGAACACTTCATGGTGCCTTGCTTTGCCCCTTGATTATTGCTTGAGCATGTACGTATGCGTGATGTTGAGTTACCCAATACATTTGCGAAATGAGATATCTCCATTAGTAATGGTAATTGCTAAATATCGAAGATGGAGATTGAAGATTGAAGATTGCAGTAACATCCCGGAGAACACCCACCTGACACTCCTGACGCGATTGATGATTCAAACCCCCACTCCAACTCCAATCTCAACTAAACCCATCCAAGCCCACACCCTGCACAGCGGAAACGCTAGACAAGTGGTAAGATGGATACCGTGGGATCAAGAGAGGCCGGTCTCACGAAAACGAAATAATGCTTAGCCTTCCTTGGCTTGACCCCCAATTTCGATCCCTCTTTTCTTTAACCTAATGTGCCATATAAATGGATCATGATCATTCTCGTATCCATCCATATGAACAGGATACCAAGTAACATAGAAATTGAATGATCTCCATTGTGTTCAGTTCCAATTGAGTCTCAGCCCAACGCTAACCCCAGCCATGGAAATCCGACTAGCAAATTGCAAGATCCTCAACTCATTTCCACGCCACCAATCATACCATTTCATCACGAAAATCATTGACAGCTCTTACCATTTCCATTACCTATCTCTCTCTCAAATTTCGCCCAAAAGAAAATCGTATCATCGCGCCCACATTGAAGAGTTTTCTTCCACATTTCTATTGAGCAAATCGGAAGGCCAAAGACACATCCCCATTCTCCAAGGAGATCAAGATTTTACCCTGTTCACTTTCCCTTTCTTTCTCTTTCCTCAAGTCTTCCCAGTCATTGTGGTGGCAGCACAAGCAATGGAACCGAACTTTCATGCACCAACAAAACGGGGATTCGACCGAAACCCCATGGGAGCCGGAGTCTATCTCCGCACTTGATGATTACTGGCTGGGTAGCGCCATAGTTCGACACTTTGTGTAGCCTTTGGTCATGCGGCTGTATGTTGCGGAACATGAGTTGATTTGAGGAAAGAGGA